GACTGATGTGGCGTGAACATCTTAGACAGCTTTGCCGTGGTCCCCTCTGTCTCATTTGTCATCTGAAGTTAAACTCCCAGGGCTTCATGTATACCCAGAAAGGGGAAGTATTGGCTCAAAAGTTTTCAGCTCTGTTAATCTCTCTATAGGGGGTGCGTAATCCCCTAAATTGGAACACAGATTAGAGCTGTTTAGATTATAGAGAACTGACATCTTTAAAGGGATAGTTCACCCTCAAATGAAAATTTACTCACCCAAATGTTGTTACAAACTGGTAAGACGTTCTTTCTTCTGTGGAACACAAAAGAAGACATTTTGAGAAATGTCTCAGTGTTTTTTGCCTATACAACAAGTTTACTAATTATTTCAACAACAACATATAATAAAATAATGATTTATTATATATTTTAATATTATTACCATTATTTTTATTTATTTATTTATTAATGATATCCAGTTTGGTGCTGGAGCCATCATATTATTACTACAACATATAACAACAACAACAACATATAAACATATAATAATAACAACAACAATATATACACATTACAAAAAACAATGGGGGAAAAAATTACCAAAACAAAATTATATACGAATTGATATTTATATTACATTTATAAATGTAATTAAAAATCATAATATTATAAATAAATGATAATTTTATTATAATAAAATAAAATTAATAATATTAATAATTGTTGTTATTATTATTATAATTATTAAGATTTTACATTATTATAATCACTTGTTGTTGTTTAATTAATTGATACATCATAATTTTTTCGTTTCAACACCAGACTGAATATTTTATGTAATCCTAGGAGAGATATAACAATATTAGATCTTAACAATTTCAAGATATTACCACACACTTGTTGCAAAACACTGTCTGAAAAGTGTGCTGTACGCAATGTATCTTTTCTAAATCTGAAATATTGAGTTGAGAAATATCTGCTGTTCACAGAGAAATGGAGAAAGAGAGTCAGCTGAGACCAAGCGTAAAGCAGACAAACTTCTCCTTAGGTGGCTCTAAATGTCCATATCAAAGGAACCATGGTTTGCTTTCATGTGTCTGCCAGGACAATTCCCCTGGCAGTGTGTAACAGATCATTTGTCGTCCCAGCCGCCCAACTTCTCCCTCCTGTCAATAAAAATAATTAACAGACAATAGTGGCGTCAGTTAAATGCTTCCCTGTTCATGATCGGTGATGACATACGACCTGATTTTGTGTATGGCAATACTGCATTCAGCAATACGTGCTTCAATTTCAGAACAAACTGACCTTGAGGTTTGAAACAACAACTGTAAGCTATTTTTGTTTAAAATATAGCTCAAGAATTTGTTGGACTTGACCTAAGTGTCCCTATACTGTCCCTGCGGTGAGGACACAGCTCAGGGAAATGACTTGTCATTCAAGGTATTCAGCAGGGCCAAGAGCGAACAGAAGTCTTGTATTTGAGCCAGACCTCAGGGGGGCTTCAAATAAAACACTAATTATCTCTATCAAATGAAAACAAAAAGCCTTGCTGCTGCTTTTCTTTTCAACTTTGGCATACTGATGCCTGGTATGAGGCAAAAGTGGACAGCCTAAAAAAAGAGGTTTTAATAACCAGGTCATGTCTCGAAAAAAGTGCAGCCGGGCATTTTTACTCTAGTGCTGCTGAGCCTGTAAAAGGAGCATCTGTTTTGTTTCAGCACAGCTGAGAGTAATGAACCTGGGCAAGCGATGAACCGTGACTAAAAAAAATCTTGGGGAGTCAATACTAGTTCTTAATATTCATATTACAGCCAAGGACACACACAAGGAAAGACAATGCTGCAGATAAAAAATACATCTTTTTGGAGATTTTCTTGGTGTAATGACTTATATTATCAATATGTTTACTTTTAACTTACATTTTCACAATATCGTTTAAGCACAAGACAGATATTTACAGTATAATCCATATATTGCCACTCATACCTATACAGTTCCCGTTGCGACACAATCTTTTTAGACAAATTTTATGCTCTTTATGCTTTATGCTTATGCTCTCTAATTCAGCTTTATGTTAAAGCTGAATTAGAGCTATTTTAGTTCAGTGCAATTCTGACACACATATGTAGAATTTACTACACATATATTAGCTCTGATTCAAAACATAGCAAGGAATTTTATAAACACTCCTGGTGCAAAAA